TCGTATGGCTTGAGATAATGCCTCTTTGCTGTAACTTTTCATCCCTGTTGTAAATCATGAAGAATGTGCCCCAGAATTGATTGTATTTTGATGTCATTGATGACTATGAAAGCAATGTTTTTTGTAATGGTATATAAGGGGGTTGTAAGATAGAATAAGTAAGTAGAGGTAAATAGAAGTAGAAAGAAGGAGAAGGGAGGAAGGGGGAGAAGAAGGAATATGAGGTGGAGAGGAGACGATAAAAGAATGGAGGGAGGATAGAGGGAGTAATGTAGAGCAGGAGCAGGGGAAGGGAGAAAAGAAGCAGAAGAAATGAGCAGGAGATCAGGAGAGTAAAGAATGAGTAGGAGGGTAAAGAATGAGAGAGTAGAGTAGCATAGAAATGAGAAGAATAAAAAATGTAATATGAATTTGAATTCATCACGACCCATGACTCCGTGTAATTCTTATCGCCGACAGCCGCATCCCTCTTCGGAAAAAACCCTGGAATAAATTTGCCGGGGCACATACTTTGGACATGTCATCAGGAGAGACCAGTCTCTGGAGAAGGACATTATATTTGGTAAAGTGAGCATCCGTGAAGATGAGGAAGACCCCTAACAAGATGAAGTTATACAGTGGCGGCAACCATGGGCTCAAGTGTGTCTGAGAATGGCAGAGGACTGGGCAGTGTTTTGTTTTGTTATACATACAGTGGCTATGAATTGCAGCCGACTCGACAACACCTAACAACAAATACATTATAATTTAGGATGAGTAAAGATACATAGCAGCTGTTTCGCGGGAGAAAGATGAGGCTTTCTGCTCCCGTAAAGATTTACAGCCTCGGAAACCCTGTATAGGGTCGCTATGAGTTGGAATTGACTCGATGGTACTTAACAACAACAACAACAAAGATACATACTGGAGTTCTGGTATGGCACTGTGGGTTAATGCGCCAGACTGCAAAGCTGTTTTGAACTGCAAAGCAAAGTCGGCAGTTCAAGCTTACCAGCTGCTCCTAGGAAACCCTATACAGGGTCGCTATGGGTAGGAACTGACTCGACAGCACTTCACAAAAACAACAACAACAAAGAAACATAGTATCTGTTGTAAATAGATAAATAAGTACATAGATAGGAAGGAGGCAAAATGGGTAGGTAGATAGTTGTTAAGTGCCATCGAGTAGGTTCCAACTCATAGTGACCCTGTACAGGGTTTCTGAGGCTGTAAATCTTTGTGAGAGCAGAAAGCCTCACCTTGTTGTTGTTGCTAAATGCTGTTGAGTTGGTTACAACTAACAGTGACCTTGTATAGGGTTTCCAAGGAGTGGCTGGTGGGCTTGAACCTCCGAGCTTATGGTTAGAGTTCAGTGTTGATCCTACAGCGCCACACCAGGACTCCAAACAAATATGGAATACTTCATGAATTTGCATGTCATCTTGTTGTTATCAAGTGCCATCAAGTTGGTTCCGACTCATAGCAACACTATAGTAGAGAAGGGGAAACTTTTTTCTGCCCAAATTTAAAACACTATTCATGGGCCATACAAATATTTAATTAACTCAGGAATATATGCAGCCAGAGTGCTCATTGGAGGCCAGGATGGCCTAACTTCGTCTCTTATACTTGGGACATATTGTCAGGAGGGACCAGTCGCTGGAGAAGGACATCATGTTTGGTAGGGTGGAGGGTCAGAGAAAAAGACCCCCAGCGAGATAGATTGGCCAAGTGGCAGCATCAATGGGCTCAAGTGTGGCAACAATTGTGAGGTTGGCCCAGGATTGGGCAGTGTTTCATTCTATTGTGCACAGGGTCGCTATGAGTCAGTACTGATGCTATGGCACCTAACAACAACAACAACAAATATGATGACTGGAATTGCGGCTGCCTTGGCAGGGCCAGACCAAATGATTTCACGGGCCCTCTGGTAGCATAGTGGTTATGAATTGGGCTGTGAACCTCACAGACAGCAAGCAGTTCAAAATTACCAGCTGCTCCGTGGGAAAAAGATGAGGCTTTTTAGCCTCGGACACCCTGTATAGGTCGCTATGAGTCAGAACTGACTCCACGGCACATAACAATAACAACATACAGCCTGTGGGCCAGATGGTCCCCACCCCTGCTGTATAGGGCTTCTGGGGTCATTAAATTGGGCCTGGACTTATGTTGATCCAATCAATACACAATGGAAAGACCCAGTTGGCTGTGATACACAGGGTTTTCATTGGCTAAGGAGCTCTGGTAGCGTAGTGGTTACGAATTGGCTGCGAACCTTAAGACCAGCAGTTCGAAACTACCAGCCGGTCCTCGGGAGAAAGATGAGACGTTCTGCTCCCGTAAAGATTTACAGCCTCGGAAACCCTGTTCAGGGTCGCTATGGGTCGGAACCGACTCTATGGCACTTAACAACAACAACAATGCATGAAGTACTTTGACCTGGAATTGAACATATGTCACATGACGTCAGAATTCTACCTCCGCCCCCAATAGACAGATGTTGTTGTTGTTGTTGTTGTTATGTGCGTGGAGTCGGTTCCGAAGATACAGAGATAATGTTGCTGCTGTCAAGTGTCATCAAGTTGGTTCTGACTCATTGCAACCTTGTATAGGGTTTTCAAGGAGCAGTTAGTGGATTTGAACTGTCGACCTTTTGGTTAGCAGTCCAGTGCTGATTCTACAGCACCACACCAGGCCTACATTATTCAATACACCAGTCATACACCAAAATGACTTTGTTGTTGTTGTTGTTAGGTGACATCAAGTCGGTACCGACTCATAGTGACCTTATCTATGTACAGCAGAATGAAACACTGCCCGATCCTGGGCCAACCTCACAATTGTTGCCACGCTTGAGCCCACTGATGCTGCCACTTTGCCAATCCATCTCGCTGGGGGTCTTCCTCTTTTTCTCTGACGCTCCTGACTTTGGAGCAGATGAAACGTTGCTAGTTTGAACTGAGATGTGCCATAAGTGTAAAATATATGCTGGATTTCAAAGGCTGAGTACAAAGAAGAGAATCTAAGTTATTTCCTTAATAATTTTTATATTGATTCCATGTTGCAAAGGTATAATGGATAAAATAAAACATGTTATTAAAATTACTTTCAACTTTTGACTTTTTTAATCGGATGTCTGTTTTTATTAAGTGCTATCGAGTCGGTTCTGACTCATAGCAACCCTATACAGGGTTTCTGAGGCTTTAAATCTCCATAGGAGCAGAAAGGCTCATCTTTCTCTCATGAAGCAGCTGGTGGGCTCGAACCGCAGACTTTGTATGCATATCGTATGGAGCCACCACACTCCAACGGAATGACTAGCAAATCCAAAATGACATTTGTGGTTTGCCTCTTACTTATCTTGGAGGGTGCTAGGTTAGATAATGGCAAAAAGAAATAAACATGCATACACACACATACACACAAATCCAGAACAACCAAACCAGTTGCGGTCTAGTCCATTTTGATTCATGGCGACCCATGTGAGACAGAATAGAACTGCGCTCATTGGGTTTTCATAGCTGTGACCTTTTGGAAGTAGATCACCAGTGCTTTCTTGCGAGGTGCCACTGGGTGGCTTTGGACCACTGACCTTTTGGTTGGTAGCCCAGCATTTAACTGTTTGCACTATCCAGTCGACCCAGAGAGGTATGAGGGAAAACTAGAGAAAGGGGAAAAGTAAGGGTGTTTGCAATTTTGAAAAGAGCAATCCGAGAGGACTAGTTGAATACAAATAAATACTTACAAATGACCTTAAATGCTTTCAGGGAAAAAGTACAGCATAAAAACCTGCTGCCATCAAGGCAATTCCTACTCATAGCAACTCATAGGACAAAATAGAACTGCCCCATATGGTTTCCCAGGTTGCAAATTTTATGGAAGCAGACTGCTTCTTCTTTCGTCCTTGGGGTAGCTGGTGGATTTGAAGCTCTGACCTTCTGATTAGCAGCCTCTAACCTTTGTGCCACCAAGGCTCTTTAAAGTATAGTATATCAGGAGTCCTGGTGTAGTGCTGTAGGATAAACACTGAACTGCAAGGTTGGCGGTTCAAATATACCTGGTGCTCCTAGGAAATCTTATACAGAGTCGCTGTGAGCTGGAACTAACTAGATGATGCTTAACAAATGAAGAGACCTGAACTAGTGTGAGGATTTAGGCAAAGGTTGTCTCAGGAAGTGATGCCTGAGTCAAGACCAGAAGAATAAATTGGCATAACTCAAGAGATTAGAAGTATGAATTGAGCATTAAAAATACACAAAAAAGCAATCCCACTGCCATGGAGTCAATTCTGATTCAAGGCTACCCCACGAGGGAAGAGAAGCATTCTGGGTAGAAGAAATTTCATGTGCAAAGGTCCTGAGGCAGGAAAGAGTCTGGCATGTTCCAAGAACACTAAAGAAGGCAATGTAGTTCAGAAAGAGGGTGGAAAGGGGAGCGAGACAGGAGTCAGCTCACACTACAGGTACTGTAGTTGAGATACCCTGGCCTGGAGGCTACATTTATGTATGATTGACACACACACACACCTCTGCACACATCTGTACCAAAACCAAACCCACTGCTATCTATAAGTCGATTCTGACTCATAGGGACCTGATACTGGGTTTCTGAAACTGTAAACCTTTTGGGAACAGACAGCCTCATCTTTCTCCCTTTGGAGTGGCTGGTGGGTTTGAACCACAGACCTTGCAGTTAGCAGCCCAGCGCCTAACCCACAGCACCACTAGGGCTCCTTATACTTATACCAGTACAGTATATATGTGGTGCTGTAGGAGAAGCATTGGACTGTTAACTGCAAGGTTGGTGGTTCAAACCCATCAGTTCCTCCTTGGAAACCTTATACTGGGTCACTATGAGTTGGAACTGACTTACATTCCAGAGGACTTCAAAAAGTTCATGGGAAAATTCCATTATGTTTTAATTCCATTTTTTTATGCATTTGTCTATATATATGAGAACCAGACTCCCACATTCAACCATCCCACCTCCTCTTGCTTACCTGATCAGGAAGTGGATGCAGACGATGCTCTCAGACTGCGGGCCCCGGCCCCCGGATACCACAGTGGCCTGTGTCTGGGTCCACAAGTAGCCACCACTCCGAGCCAGGAAGCGGTATTGTCCCGTGATGGCCTGGCCTTTGCTCAGCACTGGGAAGGCGGACAGAGACACAGGTGAGAGACACAGGGGAGGAGAAGGGCCTGGGGACTAGGGGCTGGATATGAGTAGGCCAGACAGGAGAAGGTTCCTTGGAGTTTGGGGGAGAGGGTGTTAGTGGTGGCATGGGTGGGAGAAGAGGAGGTGCCTTGCTGGTGTTTGGAGGCCAGGTTCCCTGGGGCGTGGGAGCTAAGGCTTGGGGGTGGGGTGGCTCCCCGGGTGTTGGGGGATGGCTTTGGGGTCAGGCCTGGGGAAGGACACACGCACAGGTGTGGATGCTCTTGCTGACTGCATCGGAGTCCAGGGCATGGATGTACTCGTAGGCAGAACAACCAATCAGATCCTCGGGGCTATAGCCAGCGACTTCGGCAATCCTGGGGGTAGGATGCACGGAGCCTGGTGAGACCCGAGTGCAGCTGGGATGGGGGTGGGGAGAAGGAAGGGCAGGTAGCACAGGGACAAAGGCAGCAAGATGGAGAGAGAGAATGATAACAATGAGACAGGGAAAGAGTAAGAGATGGGAAAAGCAGGATGTGGTAGACTGAAAGGAACACCCGGAATGTAGTGGTTAAAGGGCTTGCCTGCTGATTGTAAGGTTGGTAGTTCAAACCCACTTTCCTAAAGATTTACAGCACTGAAAACCCTATAGGGCCACTCTACTCTGCTATAGGGCCACTATGAGTCAGAATTGACTCAAGAGCAGTGCGTGGGTTTGATTGAGATACACTAAATAATTGTCCCCCGAAATGTCCTCGCCCTAATCCCTGAACCTCGGTCTTTACAGCTATGATGAAGTTAAGGATATTGAGATAAGGAGGTGGCCCAGGTGGGTTCTTATACAAGAGTCCTTATAAGAGGGAAGCAGGAAGATTTTGGTGAGTAGCAACTGGGGTCTTAAAAGCTCATGAGTGGTCATCTAAGGTGCAACTATTTTGGTTTCTCCCTGTCTAGAAGAAAAAAGAATGAAGAAAATCAAGGATTAATAGAAATAATGAGTCCTATGAAGACTGGACCCCACGAACATCGGTCTCCATGATTCTGAGATCAGAAGACCTAGATGGTGCCCAGCTACCACTATCAGCTGCTCTGAAGGAATCGTATTAAAAGTTCTGGATAGAATAGGAGAAAGAGTGGAACAAAGCTCAAACTCATAGAAAGACCAGGTTTACTGGTTGGATAAAGATTGGTAGAATACCTGAAACTACAGTCCTTAGTCACCTTTCAGGTGTGGAAATGAATTTACCATAGTGGTTCAATTTTTACCCAAATAGACAGGCCTATAAGGGGAACAATAACATTAGGGAGATACACACCTTTGACGATAATCAACCATTTGAGATCAAAAGGGCAACATTTACCCGAAGACAAACTTCAGAAGGGTTAGGAAAGAAGGCGGAATGGAAACCAGGAAAACACAGGGAGGAAGTGGGATAAGTGATGTAGCATTGTGGGGATTACAATTAACGAGAGGAAACAAAATGCGTATGAATTGTTGAATGGAAAATTGGTCTGCTCTGTAAACCTTCACCCAATTCACAATAAAAAGGAGGCAGGAGGGTTGGAGTCAGAGAAGGAGAGGACAACAGAAGCAGCGGTTGGAACCGTGGCATCTCTAGGGTTGGTGTCACTCACGTGGCTCCTCCCCTCTCCCACTGGTCAAGCTGGAGACTCTCCTCTCTGATCAATGGCAGGCACCACGGCCTGTCCATTTGTACTCTAAGTGACAGATAGATAGGAGTGTGACAAGTTACTACACTGGCTGACACCAACCTTCATGACGTAACAGCCTTGACGGTCCCTCCTCCTGCAACATGGACCAGCCTGCCACTGCCACCTTGGAGGAGATTTTAGTGACTTCTACTCCAACAGTGACAGCCCGCCCCCATCCTGCCAAGTGACATCACTAGGTTGGAGGATTCATTCTGAAGACGGTTGAAGGAATGTAGACAGCTTCCAGACACTGAAAAAGGCAATGAAACAGATTCTCCCCGGAGCCTTCAGAATAAACCTTCCCTACTAACTCCTTGACTTACATCCTGAAAGGCTCATTTCATGAAGAACCCATGTGTTACACAGTAGAACTGAACTCCCCAGGGTTTTCTTGGCTAAAATCTTTATCGAGCAGATCACCAGGACTTTCTTTCATAGCACTGCTGGCTGGGCTTGAACTATCAACCTTTAGACTAGTCGTTGATTACAAACTGCTTATGTCTCCCAAGGACCACACACAGGGTTGTCACGAGTCAGAACTGACTCCATGGCAATGTTTGTTTCTCGTTGTTTTTAAAGCTCACTGCAGACTTCTAACCATCAAAACTGTGAAATAATAAATCTGTTGTTTGATAAAGGAGCCCTGGTGATTCTGTGGCTTAGGCACTACTAACCACAGGGTCAGCTATTCAAATCCCCCTGTCACTCTGCAGGAAAATAAATGAAGAGGCTGCCTGCTCCCATAAAGATTTATCATCTCAGAAACCCTACACAGGCTTGCTTTGAGTCAGAAGTGATTTGATAGTAGTGTGTTCGATTGTTTGATCATGTGTTGAAGTAGCAACAGGAAGCAAATACAAAGGGGAAGAGAAGGCAAAAAAAAAAGTGAAAGGAAGGGGGAAAAGGAAAAAAGAGAAAAAGATGAAAGAAATAGGAGATGAGATGGGGAGAAATAAAATCCAGAGAAGGAGAAAGAGTTAAAAGAAATAAAAAATAATAATGATGGTGATCATTTAAGAAATATAATTCTTGTATAGTGAGGGCCTTGTGCTGGAGACCTTATCCAGTGCTAAGAAGAACATACAAAGAAAATGTTCTACTCTTACTTCCATATGACCGATGAGGAGACTGAGGCATGGGGCAGCGAAGTCACATTGCCAAGGGTACACAACTAGGATATAAACCCAAGCAGTCAGAATCCACCCAGGGTCGCCATCCCTAAGGACCACTTCATGACAAGATAAAAGAGGGACGGAGGGAGAGAAATTAGAGGAAGAACAGAGAAAAGAGGAGAGAAAAAGACAGAGGGAAGCACATTCATTTCCTAAGACCACAAATTGGGAGTCTTAAAACAGCAGAAATGTATTGTCTCAAAGTTCTTGAAGTCCCCACTGTCACTGAGTCAATTACAACTCATCACACCCCCATAAGACAGAGAGGACGGTTACACGGAGTTTTGGAGACTGCAAATTTACGTGGGAGCAGACAACGCCGTCTCTCTCCCTCAGAGCGGCTGGTGGGTTTGATCTGCCCAGTGTTTACCACACTGTGCCACCAATGCTGTCTGAAATGAAGATGCTGACAGGGCTGTGTTTGCTTCAGAAGCTTCAGGGAGAATCTCTTCTGCCCTCTTCCAGCTTCTGTCCTAGGCATTCCGTGGCTTAGGACAGCATCACTCTAATTTCTGCCTCTTGTCATCACAAAGCCGCCACCTTCCTTGTGTGTGTCTCTGTGTCTCTTATATCTTTCTTATTGGGACTCTAGTCAGATTGTGTTAAATGCACTACTTCACTATGACCTCATCTTACTAATTAGAACCACAAAGACCCGATTTCCAGAGGAGACCCCATTCTAAGGTTTCAGGAAGGCATGAATTTGGAGGTGGTCGGTTCCAACTCATAGCGACCCTGCATAGGGTTTCCGAGGATGTAAATCTTTACAGGTGCAGAAAGCCTCATCTTCCTCCCACAGAGCGGCTGGTAGTCTAGAACTGCTGACTGTGAGGTTAGTAGCCTGACTCATAACCACTGTTGTTGTTGTTGTTGTTGTTGTTGTCAGGTGCCATCGAGTCAGAACCGACTCATAGAGACCCCATGCACAGCAGAACAAAACAATGTCCGATCCTGGGCCAACCTCATAACCACTATGCTACCAGAACTCTTTGAATTTGGGGGTAACATTATCCAATCTGAGTTCAATTCTGGGCCAGTGCACCTCATATGGACCCACCACCAAGTATCAGTGGAGGCTTGCATGTTGCTGTGATGCTGAGCAGATGTCAGTGGAATTTCTGGACTAAGACAGACAAACTAGGAAGAAAGTTCTGACCATCTACTTCCAAAAATCAGCTAATGAAATCCCTATAGATCACAATGGTCTACTTTATTCCGTTCATTTGTGGATGAGATCATCATGACTGGTTTTGACAGCATCTGGTGTGGCGCTGTGGGTTAATGCACCAGACTGCAAAGTCATTTGAACTGCAAGGTCGGCTGTTCAAGCTCACCAGCTGCTCCTTGGAAACCCTACACAGGGTTGCTATGGGTCAGAACCGACTAGACGGCACTTCACAACAACAATAACTATCCAGTCCAGTTAATTTCTTGAGTACTTCCTGTGTGTTGGGTACCGTAAGGACTGCTTGACATGAATTAATTAATTAAGGAAAGCAACAAAAGGCCAGAAGGGAGCCCCTCAGAGAAAAAGACAGAGAATGAAAGATCAGAAGACCCACCAAAAATCAGAGCGTGACAGACAGACAGACAGACAGACAGAGAGGAATGAACAAAGAGAAAGAAATCCAGTGGGGCAGGGGGGTGGCAGGCGGTCAGTGAATCTGGGCACATATCTGAGGGCAGCCAAGCTGCTGCCCACCTCTCATCACAGTAGGTGAATTTCATGTCCAGGCTGTGGCGGCTGAGGAAGGCCCCCCGGCCCAGCGGGGGCTCCAGGCTGCCTGGGTGGGGGATAGCCTCACAGATGAGCACCAGGCACCTCATGGGGGGCTCCAGGTCGGGGATCCCAGCTGGGGCAGTCTGTGCGGGGGGCTTATAGGCCCTCATGTGCCCGGAGCAGTGCAGCACCTGGGGGAGGGAGGGAGGGGTTAGTCTGCAGGATCTGAGTGGGTGAATCACTACATGTGGGACACCCATGGGGCCCGGAGCTGGGTCTCTGTGGGTTTCACAGGGAGCTGAGAAGAAATCCCTGAGGGTGACCCAGCTCAGAGAGCTCTGAGGACCCCAGGAGTCCAGTTCCTCCGAGACCCAGGCTCAGGATTCTGACAACACCAAAGTCCAACCCCATGGAGACCCAGGCCAGGGGTTCTAATGACCCTAAAATTCCAAACCCCTGGAAATGCAGGCAGAGGCAATTCTGAGGATTCTTTAGACCCCAATGCCCTAGAAACCCAGTCTCAGGGGACTGAGAATCTCAAGCCCTAGACCGACCTAGACAGAGCCTAAGAAAGATTACCAGGACTTCTGAGACCCCCAACTCCACAGACACCCATTCTCCTAGATGCCCTGGGAGAGCCTGCATGATCCCACTCTGGTGGCCCTTGGTTCACTCCTCACCAGGCCTTTCAGGACTCAGCTCAGTGGCCTCCTTCTGCCAGGCCTTGCCTACCTTCCACGTGGCAGCTTTGAGGTTGAGGGTGCGCCCGCGGCTGGTGAGGGTGCTCTTCATGCGCAAGGAGAAGCACCGCTGGGTGGGGGCTTCTGGTTTCTTCTTGGACAGGTCTGGAGAGGGCCAGAGGGGCGGGGTGTTACCAGGCCGTGTGGACAACTCTAGGTCCCTTCAGTACCCCTGCTACTAAGCCTCCGCAGCCTCACCTCCAAAACTGGGATCTGGAACCAGAGAGCCTCTAGGGCACGGAGACTGCTCAGACTCCAGGACAGAGTCATGTCACCTCAAGGCTCTAGGACAGGGTCATGTCCCCTCAGACCCCAGGAGAGGGTCATGTCCCCTCAGACCCCAGAGCAGGGTCATATCCCCTTAGACCCCAGGACAGGGCTGTGCTCTCCCCCTTCATAGTTCCCTCAGTCCAGTGTTCCAGAGGAACGTGCTGAGGGAAGAGTGAAATCTGTTTGTTCATCTGTAAAGTGGGAACAGAAGCACTCACTCTGCCTGGGCATCAGGGCATCCTGAAGCTCCTCTTGGTCACAGGGATGGATGAAATCAAAGATACTGTGTCCGATGAGTTCAAGCTGAGAGCCAGAGGAGTGGAGAAGGAGTTGTGAGGGAATGAATGGACTCTTACCAGGCCCTTGACCATCCCCTTCTCCCCATCTACATGCCCCAGTCCTAATTCAGAGCCCAGATTACTTCACCAGTCTCCTCATTCATTCATTCACTCAGCAACACTCAACAACCTACTATGGGCCAGGCCCTCCTCTAAGTGGGATCGACACAGCAGTGACCACAGAGAAAATTCCTGTCTTGCAGAGGTGACTGTCTAGCGGGAGGATACAGATAATAATAAACAAAGCCAAACTTAAACTATACACACACACACACACACACACACACACATACAGTATCACTATAATAATATGGATAAAACAGGGCCTTAGGTGGCTCCGTTTGCATTGGCCTGCTAACCTGGCAGTCCAAACCCACCCACTGGTAGTGCGGAAGAAAGACCTGGAAAATTGCTTTCATTAAGATGACAGTCAAGAGAACCCTAAGGAGGAGTTCTACTCTGTAACACACAGGGTCATCATGAGTTGGAATTGACTCAGTGGCAATTAACAGTGACCACAACAACATGGATGGAGCAGGGTAAGACAAGGAAATGATTGGGGTACTAGTTTCAAGAAGGTGGTCAGGGATAGCTTTTTTGAATCAAGGTTTGAACTGTTTTAACATGGTTCAATAATCGTTGTTATACACAAGGGTTGCAGATTTGTTGCGTAGCAACCAAATCTGTGGCCTGTGGTATTTTGATTTCAGTAGGAAACAAATCGCTACGCCCTGCTCAAAGATGGCAGCCAACCATGCTATTTTGAATGCATATTATATTCTGTTGCTTTCCAAAAGTCCTGGTACAGTCCTTCCTCCTGAAAGTACCGGAAGTCTGAGGAGGGAGATTGGATTAGTGGCAGAACTCTGGAAAGCAACATGCATTCAAAGTGGTGAGGTCATCTGCCATTTTTGATTGGGGCACAGCTTTGTTTCCTGTTGCTATTAACTTTGAACCACCGACCTTGAAGGAGCTCTGGTAGCGTAGTGGTTACGAATCGGGCTGTGAACCTTAAGGTCAGCGGTTCGAAACTACCAGCCGCTCCGCGGGAGAAAGAT